GGTTGAAAAATCGAAGAGGTCTCGAAGGGTCGACTAAATTGACCCGGCTTCCTCGACAAGCCGAAGAGGTATGGAAGGGTCAGCTAAATCGACCCAATCTACCTCGGCCTCGAGAAGTCAAGAGCTCGAATAACCAAGAACATTAAACAACTTTCAAAAGAAAAAAAAAACGAGAGGCCATACATCCATAGGTAATATGGATTGGCATTGCAAGTTCAAGGGACATAATACAAAGTCGATACCTATGGTATTAGTGTGAGGCTCGTCTATGGTAGTCAAGCCGACATAGTGTCGAAGAGCGGCTTGAGAATTAAGAAACACCATGTCGATCGGCTCTTTATTCCACTCGTCCACTATAGACCACTAATGGGTATTTCTTCGAGGCTTAAGGCATTGGCGGAGCTTCTTATGCTGCCACTTCGAAGGAAAATCGAAAATATCGAGTGGAGGATGGACAAAGAAGAACTACCCTTTCCAAGAAGGGACATTGGAGGGTAGATTGTTGATGAATTCGGCCCCGGCGGGAACTAATATAATGGGACCCTGTATTGCCCCACCTTTGGTATCTTAACCCATAGTAATAGAAGAAAAACTCAGGCTCTAACTGCTCTAATCGATGCCGACACAAAATTGCAAAGCCAATCATTACCCGAATAGCATTGGGGGAAAATGGGTTCAATAGAAGCCTAAAAACCCGACTAAGGCTCAAGAGAGCACCCAAGCCAGAGAAAAAAAAAAATAAAAAAAAAAATAAAAAAACAAAGACCGACATCAACTTGGTCTTTAAAAAATGTTTAACAATCGAGAGGGGGAAATCATACGAGTCGGTAGTCTTCAGAACCACAAACTCCCAATCAACGGTTAACTCACAAAGCCACTTTAATTTAACGATTTTACAGGAAGACATACTAGAAAAGGGACTCGGTTTACCTCTACGCAACCCAACTAGAGGGTCGACTAGAGGAGGGGGGTCATGCCCACCTGAATCAACCGAGGGAGGGTCGTGACTACCCGAATCAACTGAGGGAGAGTCGTGATTACCCAAATCGACCGAAGGGGAACTGCGCTCACTGGAACCGACCAAAGGGAAGACGCCCCTACCTAAAATTGAGCCTAGAATATCGAAAATGAAAGGGACATCCTCGAGGTTAAAGGGTTCATTGGGAAATGAGCTTCCAAATCGTTGAAGCTCATCCCAAATAAAGATGCCCTCGACCTCGTCGACTAGGCAAAAAGTGTCGGCCCCAGCAGGAGGAGGGGGTGGGGGTAAAAGGGTATATCCTCAACATAGTCAAGTGTGGAGGATGTAGCATGGGGAGAATCGGGATCAAAGCTTTGGTTCGAGCCCAAAGATCGAGGCATCGACCAAAGACGGGAAAGAGGGACTATGTTGATGATATCGACGAAAAAAGACAAGAAAATAAGAAGGATCAAGAAAACATACCCATGATCGGAGTAGTTTGAGCCAGAGCGGACGAGATGACCAGAGGAGAAAGTCGACTGAAAAATCGCGTCAGGAGCTTCACCACGCCGGCGGCTAGGGAGAGGCTTTAAGGAGAACGGGTGAAAAAATTTTGTTGAGAGAAAGGATGAAGCTACTTAAGAGGGGTGAGAAACCCTAGGCTAAAAGATGGGAAGATAACATCAAATCAAGACCCTCCAATCACCTAGTAACCGGTCTTAAGGTCGATTTTGCTCAAAGCATACTCGTTAATTACGCAATAGCGGGCGGTAGCGAATTAAGAAAGAATAACAATAACAAAATATATGTATATATTTACGGCTATACGAGCTTCGATCCGTATTACCGTAAATAGTGAGTAGTTGATAGAGATTATAGTAACGACCCGGTTCAACCAAACGAGGACCCGTGAAACTAGGTCAATTAGGCCGAAAGATCGACCAAGCCGGAGGGCCGAACATCGACCTAATGGTCGATATTGATGACCACGGCAAGACGGGTCGAATGTTGACCCTTAAAGACCCGGCATCGACTAAAGTATGTTCAATCGACAGATGATCAGGAACTTATGATCGTACAACTAAACACTATATAAAGGGTTAATTCAGCAATAGCAAGGTAAGACTCATTTATTACAATTATTGTTACATTTATTGCAAACTATCCTCTAACTCTGAGATACTACCTTGGGCATCGGAGGGTCTTGTATCGGAGTAATTACGGCGCTCTTTTCAGGTACCAGCAAACTTTTGGACTTGGATCAAATCGAATTGGAAGGACTTGCGCTCGAACCGGAGGACCTTTTGAAAGACCGGAGTAGCTTATCTCGGACCATATCAATCATATTGTATCGTATGCTCACACAATACACATCAAACACGTCTTTAGTCATCACTTATCTACCCTTAATTTCATAATTAAGGAATGTTGCGGTCGCGCGACACATTTACAGAAGTTGCACAATAATTAAGATTTTTTTTGCCAATAATAACATTCTTTTATAAAAATTAATAAAGTGAAAATTAAGAGTAGATATGAAAAGAAATAGTGTATTTATTAACTAAATAAGGGTAATAATGGAAAAATATGTAAAAAAAATTCAAAACATCATTTTTTTGTTAATGGTTGATAAAACCAAAATGACATTTAAAAAAAAAAAGAGGTAGTAGCATTTTATAATATATTAATAAAGGTCAATTTTTTTTTTCAAAACGATATAGATATTATATAAATAAAAACCGCACAAAGTGCGAAAAGAAGCAGCCAAAAGCTAAAAATACAACCAAAAGTTCAAAAGACTGGGAGGCAGAGCCAAAGATCGCCTAGAGCCTGACCTAGCAACGCTAGAATAACAAACTCGCAACTACACAAAAAACAACTACACAAACAAAACAAAGACTACTAAAAAAGATTCCAACAGGATAATACCCGAGTGTCTGATCCTAACAGGATAATAAGTCGACAGCGCACAGAGACCAACGGTCCAAACAAAAAACACAGACCTAAATAACACAAAGAGAACAAACCTAGAACAACACAAATACAACGACACAAAACGAACAATAAATTCAAGCCCTTCCCCAGCAAACAAATAGGCCCAAACCAGCAGAGAAGCAATCGATCCAAGGAAGATCCCTAGGCCCAGGCACCACTACCGAAATTGCGAAACCGCCTATACAGAAGCCAAACCCGAGCCCTGAACCAAACCCCAAAATGACCCACCTCCAACCGAGAGAACGACGACACCAGCTCCCCAAGCCATCGCATCCCGAACTCATCTAACACCACCACTGTTCTAAAAATCGGCCTAGGCGGCCGCCTAGGCGGTGCCCGGGCGCCTCCGATTTGTACAAATCGGCAGAAAAAATCGGTCAAGCGGCTAGGCGGCGCCTAGGCGGGCCTAGGCGGCCCTAGGCGCTCCTAGGCGGCCTTGGCGGGCTCGGCGGCCAGGCGGTTAGGCGGCGTCTAGGTGGCCGTAGGCGGACCTAGGCGCTCCTAGGCGGGCTCGGCGGCAATTTTTCAATTTTTTTTTTAATTTTTTTTTAATTTTTTTAAATACTAATTACATTATTTTGTTCTCATGTTTTCTTTAATATATATTAATATTATTATTTGGACTTTGGTGTGTGAATTTATTATATGTTGAGATAATATTATTTTGTAGGTAGTTAAAATAAATAAAAAATAAGGTATTTACTATTGATTTCTGGGCCCCGACTAGGCGCTCTAGGCGCTAGGCACTGGTCGAGCGCCTAGCGACTTTTAAACACTGAACACCACTAGTCAAGCTCGGGAGCTCCGGACCCCCCGCCATCCATAAAACCAGAGGACCGGGGAATGAGAGCGGCTCGGTCCAACTCCGACTTTCCCGACGCAAAACGTCGCAGCTACTGGAGCCCCGCCCCACCCGCTGAAACCGTACATCACCCAACAACACCGCTGACCGCCGACGACCAAAGACCGGAAGCCCCACCAGAAAAGGCAGAGCTAACCGGAAAGCCCCAATCGCAGACAAGCCACAGATCGAGGCCAAACCGCCAACAAACAAAGACACGCCGGTGACTGAGAGAAGACTGGCTATTGCAGACCAGTCAAAGACTCACCACGACCGAGAAGCACCCCACCACCAATCGCAGGCCCGCCGGCGACCGAGGAAAGATCGAAAATCGCAATCAATGCTGCAGCATCGGAGGCTCGCGATTTCAGGGATGGGCTGAGCGATCAGAGGCAACCGCTAGCCGGAGTCACGCCGTCACCGAGGCAAAGATGAGCGGATTTTTTTGGGGGTAGGGTTAATAAAGGTCATATTTATAAATAAAATAACAATTTATAATGTATTATTAAGATATAGTTTGCAAGGGAGTCACATATAAATAAACACATTACAAAGCGTCATAATTAAATGATATTTTCTGTACGTGACATTATAACTTAGGCTATGTTTGGTAAAACTAGCTGATAAGCTAGCTGATAGCTGGTAAGCTAACTTATAGCTTATATGTAATTTTTGAGCTTATAGCTTATGACTTATAGCTGAAAAGCTAACTTGTATGATAAAAGTGTTTGGTAAAATTAGCTGATAAGCTAGCTGAAATAAAAAATTCAACTAACTTATTTGAAAATCTACCTAAATTAGTTTATGAGATAAACTCGAGTTTTTTAAAAAAACTCGTCCTACCAAACGAGACTTATTTGAATACAGGGAGCTTATAAGCGTCCGTCCTACCAAACGAGACTTATTTGAGTACAGGGAGCTTATAAACTAACCAAATAAGCTATAAGCTACTTATTTGGTTTACCAAACATTAATGACATTTGTATGAAATATTATAATTTAATTACACGGTTTTTATATAAGTGTCTTAATTTAAAAGTGTCATTATTTGATATTTTTAAAAAAAGCGCTGTCTCAATCTCATGTTTACACTTGGATTACCTTTCTATGCCAGCGAGAAAAAAATTTCCCCAACTTCCCCAAA